TAAATCAATGCCAAGTACTATCTCGGATGATAGTGATGGGGAAACGACTCCCATCTAGTTTTACATGGAAATTCATCTCGCGTCTATCTGTACGATAGTATCTAATAGTCGATGACTGCTGCAAATCTACGCGTATACGACCGAAATTGTTAATGACGAACAAATTATAGATGGTTATTGACAGATTATAGATGGTCGGATGCAAAACATGAGTATACGATCGATCGCAGTCTTGTAATAGCTTAAACAGATCCGAGTGCATAATTTGATTTTGAATAAATATCAGTTCAACGAATACTGAATGACCGAAGGATATCATGAGAAATGCTACGGCAATAGCCTCGACCATAAATTCTTGAGTATGACTCTCTTTCGGTGATTCCTTTAGTCGCACGCATTATCTAATCTAATTATTTTACTGGACGGTAGATGTATACATGCATTTACTTCCCGTGGACGTTCCTGCAAGCCGGCAAATTTTCAAACAATCTATCGAGCAAATTAGCGGTAAGATAACGTTGACAGAGACAGATCGACTCGCGTTGCCGCGCGATATAATTATATTGGGCCCTCGGTATTATCTTACCGATTGTGAAAGCTATCAGTGTATAAAATAACGACACTACGACAAAGTATACATATTCGCACGTGTTTATCTAAACCATGAAATTATATATTCAATTTTTTTCCTATTACTTATTAGAATAGCAAAGACAATTTTATAAAGTGCTCGATAAAAGATAATCGATTTTTCAATTTTGAAAACTGGTATTCTTCAAAGCGAAAGTAAAAAGACTGACTTTTTGAACGTCTTTTCGCACGAAGGATTCGTCCTTCTATTGCTTGCACCATCGCTACCTTGTACATACGTGCGTATGTGTGTCGAACCCGGCATATGCGCCATTTCGCACGGTCATCGACGCGATATAGCTCAATATGAGTATACATCGACGCGGAACAGGAGAATGAATGCATCAACTGTGCACCAGGGGAGGAACCGCAGGCCGGCAGGCAGACAAGCGGGCAGGCAGGCAGGCAGGTAAGAAGGTAGGCAAGCGGGCAAGCGAGCAGGCAGGTAAAGACAGGTAAAGGCAGGTAGACGCAGGTAGGTAGGTGTGTCCATGCCAGAGCGCCGAGTGTGGGCCAGTCCAGTTATTTGAGACGGATAAGAACTTGAGAGAAATAAAAAAAGAAGCGTGTACAAGCGCGAGAGCAGATATAAGTGTACGGAAGGATGAAGAGGAGGAGAAGGACTTGCAACAGAAATTGATAGGACGCTACATTAATGCAATATCTTCGCCAATGTTATCCAAGGGTTGATAGGGCAGGGGTGAAGGGAAGGGGGGACAAGGGACGGAAAAGGATACATTCAGTGTTTCGTGTGAACTTCAGTTCCTTCGCTCTCTTTTGTCACTCGACCTTTATTCTCCCGCCTTCGCTTATCGCTCGTTTGCTATACGCTGTCCGAACGTTGTCATGCGCGGAATAATATTAGCCCTCTCGCGAATTGCATGGAATCACTCGCTGATGAGGGCGATGGTGTGACGAGATAACGATTTTTAGAAGATTTCGTTCGCTGTAACCGGTTGAGAGAGACGTCTTTTGAACACTATTGGAAAAATGAATGAGAAAAAGAAAGAGGGGGGATCCCTATGTAATTTCTCGCGATGACATCGGTGGGTCAAGAACGACGTCCTGTTCTCGCTTGAATTGAATTTACAACGGATAATATATGGTCCATCGTTCACGTAATGGATCTCTTAATTACGTCGTTTTATTTGGACGATTAGACGATCGCCGCCCACGTTTTCTCGGATCTCGAAAACTCTCTCGGATAAATCTGCCTAATTTATGAAAATGTATTCACCAGGAGAATTCATTCGAGTGAGCCACGAAGTCTTGGGTCGGCTTTGAGCAGCGTCGTAGCTTCTGTAATGAGTTTTCAGATCGACAACGATCGATGCGTCCAATTACATTCAATTACAATCGTATCTATTATATTGCTAACATTTAACACACACGATATCGTGATTGTACGAAACATGGGTGGAGAAAAAAGTGAAATATTGAAACTGTGCTCCTAAAGGCATCTCTTTCAATGTAGATAAATCAAAATTATCTTAAAAATCTGTATATTTTATATATAGTACTATCAAAAATTTATTTCTTTTATTCATAGCTTTTTTTAATGAGCAATAGATGTTAAACACAATTCGACAAGCCATGTCCCATCTCTACGTCGTCCAACAATTGATGAGGTTTTAATCGTGCTTTGTTTAACTCGAGAATACTCTACTTTTACATATACGCTCGCAGATTATATAGAATGCATAATGCGAGCGTTTTAAGAGCGAGGAAATATTTTAAAGCGTATATCGCTGCATTTAGCTTCGGCATGTCGAGCGGCCCCGTTAATTTCACTAATTAAGTTAGCAACTGACCGCCCTGCCTGTTCCATCTCGCATCCTCTCTCCCACTGTTTCTTATAAGCGTTATTTATACTTTTTTGCGCATTAATTTCTGGCCTTCTTATTTCTCGTCCGACTTCCTCGACGTCGCCGCTTATTTTCCTTCTCCGCTTTGCGTCCATGTCGCCGAGCGTACGTAAACGTTTTCGCTGTTTTAAAAAACATTCCGTGCGACTTTTCTTCGAGTTTAAATTCTATAATATGACATTATTGATTCGCAGATGTGACAACGGTAAAAAAATATTTACGCGTATTTTTGGATGTCACGTCTACAAAAATTACGCGCTCCGTCTTGTGTAAATTTGAATAAAAAGGTAATGATAGTCATCAATTAAAATGCTAAACTCGTAATTAATTATCGCATCCGTATTCGTGACTTATGCAAATGCCCGCACGCAATCATGCAATGGTATTCTCTTTCAACCTCTCTCTCTCCCTCGAGGGATTTTACGATGCATTATGTGCACATTTCATTCAGCGTGGAATTCCAGAAGTCACCCACGAGCCTTTCGATGATGACGGACGAGGCTCGTACAATGGCAACAAGATAACGGGTAACAAAATGTACGATCATCTCGTTGCGCATTATAAATCACATCGTGTTTACCAAGCTTCTTTGATTCTTCCACCTCGGCGGTTTAATCCGTTCGGTTAATCATGAAAAATCGCTGACTTGCACCACTACGACACGCTACGCTGTTACATCTGCTGTTCTTCGTATACAGGATGTTTCACATCGAAAGCTTCTTTATTAAAAAGTAGAAAAACTAATCTAAAAGATGTCTTGGTCTCAAAGAAATTATACGATCGCAATTGACTTTTCTTCTAAATACAGATTTTTTCTTAGTTATATTTTTCCTCCGTTCTTAAAAGTTTTTACGGAGCTTCGATCCTAAGATGTAACACGCTATACATAACGTGCCGTCCCCCCCGATAAGGGCATTTATCCTCTCGACTTTCATTTATAATTTTAATGCCGAGATGACAAATGTGTCGTATTCAACAATATTTTTGGATCGCACATCAGCTTCTGCTCATATAGGATCAGGGATTATCTTGTTCTCGAAAAATATCGCTTTTGCCGTTTGTCATCGAGCCGACCACTACGCGCGGCTTGTCGTTCGATAGTAAGTTGCTCCCCTTTGGTCATTAAAAATTAAGAAACGAATAAGGATACTTGCTCATATATCAAGCGCATAAATAATTGCACGTTGTACTTTGCAAGAGGTAACTCTCTGTATACTTCTTTTGTCTAAATACTCTAAATAAAATGGTGATTAAACTGCACAATTACTTTAATCTTATGTTAAAGTATTAAAGTCTATAGGATTATCTAGTGTCACGAAAATTGATTTAGAAAAATATGTATATATTAAATCTATTTCTAAAGATATATATTTAATCGCGCAAGCTTGCGACACGGCAATCTTGGCTCTTGAACATAAGTTATATACTTAGAGTGCAGTTTAAAGTCACGACGAAACGGTACCTAATACGAGAATGTGCGATGCATATGTATGGTCCGCTATCACTTGCCGTTCCGTGATTTCCATAGGAAGAAACGCGCTATCGCAGTTCCAGGTCTCCCGTCCGCCAAGATTTTAGTTGCTATAAAAATGTGACAGAGCGTTGTCGTAAAATGTCTCCTCGAATTAGCGTTAAAGCGACCCGAATAGAGCGCTTAATTTAAGAATTTTTGGTTTTGAGCTTCAGGAAAAATAATTAAGAAGTTTGAATTTTTATCAAAATTTAAGTGGATTAATGTGAACATTACACCACCATTAGTCTTTCGTAAAATACTCTATACAAGAATGCATATTATTTTTTTTCTTATTGTTTTTTCATGAAATTATGAGCTACATAAATATTTATGCATGATATACGCGTTTTGATTTATTAACAGAGGACGGTTGAAAGAATTAAGGTATATATAATCGCTGATCAATTATTCACTAACTATACGAGACTAATAATTTTCACGATATGATTAAGTATACGGACGGTTTATTAATTTGGCTCCAAAGTCGTATCTTTAATCACTGAATCTTCGATAATGAGAGAGAATCTGACGTTTAGAATGTAAATGGATAAATCGACAAAATAAAGCACGAGGATATTAATGAAAAGATCATTAGGGCGATACAAGTGCGAGCCTAATAGAATGCGGGAATGATGTAACAGCCCCATGCGTCTTCTTTAACACGTAACATATTGAGGATATTCCAACACACATGCGACTTACTAGTACCTAACAGGTAGTAAGCTACACAAATTTATGCGCGCGTTCAAGTGATGAATTCTAATATCCAAACTTTTCTTTTTTTATATTTTTTATTACGCTGTATTTCCATTGTGGACACTTGGGGGACGTTAACTGCGCAGTTTCACCCCGCTATATACTTACTACTCCATACGTGACAGGGAAGCCTTTCGCGGAGCAAGGAGTCGTTGTACAAGCACAACGTATGTAACATCCGTGATATATTACGCGGCGTAATAAATACCGGGCGCCGGTGACAGAACAATCCTTACCCACTACCACCACGTGGCCGAAGACCTGATCGTTGGACACGTGGGAACAGTTCCAACGGTGATGTCGGAACTGGTGCCGGCACTCGCGCAGACCCAGCGCGGCGCCTTCGCCCACCGCCGGCATTGCGTGCGGCGCTTTTCTGCACTGCTCGCGCTGACTTTTCGCCAATCCGGGGATGCGACTGCAGACAGCCGCGCCGACCACCACCGCTCCGACCACCCTGGAATAAAAAGATCCGTCGTGAGAAATGTATAATATAAACGAGAAGATAAACGCGTGATAAATACTTTGACGAATGTGATAGAAACTATTTCGACACGTTCGAAAATCTCATCCACCGTTTAAAGAGAAGATATAGTTGCCAATTCACAAGACTATTATTAATTGGCTTTATATTTCTTTTTTACATAACTAGGTCAACGTATCCGAATGATCTTATTTTTATTTTCTTTCTCATATAATTGTACACCACTTAATATTGTGTACAGGACTTTGTATTCGTATGATAAAACCGTATGTGTGTCTGAAATAGAATAACTTATATTTAAAGATTCTTAAGAAGACGATAAATAGAAAAGTAATTTTACGAGCATTCATCTTTATCATCTGCATTTCGATATCTTGACGAGTAAAGAGAGTGGTTAACAGGTGCTAAAGCCGATACGATGACAAGCTGAAACTTGATATCCTCGGTCTCCTGCTGGTTCATTGCATAATTTATAGCCTATGGCATCTTTCTTAAGCATTCTTGCAAGGTAAATGTCTGTATTTTTAATTTTCTTCTTTCGAGAAAAGAAAAAAATAATAGAAATAGAGACCGATAGAGATATATCATTTTGAAGGTGATTTATAAAATCGCGCGGTTCATCCATCATTTCGAGAGAGCTATAAATATACCCTTCATTACGAGCCACTTACGATTCCTTCCCGATCAGCAATGAAATATTAAGGCGCTCGAAAGTACGCGAGGGTGGAGTTATCAAGTACTGGGGTCGTCGGGGTGGGATGAGGTAAGAGAGTATCGGGCTAAAGAAAGGATCGTATAGAGGAGGGGATGTAAGACGAGCAGGTTGAATTTCTGAGAAGCATGAAATTGCGACGATTACGCCGTGTCCCCAGGGCGAGAGATATTTGCATTGGAATGCATCGCGCTGGGGCTCTCGCAGTGGCCGCCGCCGAATCTCTCCTCGTGGCCACGTGGTGGGACAATCTGGATGTCCTGACGACGAACACGAGAAGAGGTAGGGCGATGGCGTGCCGCCGCGAAAACAAGCCGGCCCCGAAATCGCCCGGAGGGACTTCGTTCCTCGTCACGTCGCTTTCGCGAGGCATAAACGAGAAAGACGTTGACGCGAGAGGTCCCGTCATCGTCCCCTTCAAAGATTTGGCATGCGCATTCTCGTTGACGGGAAGATGCAATCGCGCAAGGGGCCTGCTGAGGTGAAAAAAAAAGAAAGAAAGAGGAAAACGTTCCCCCGTCATTTCTCATAATAAGTACGAGACAGTGAGAACGGGCTTCTTCCTGTCCCGTGCATTTGGTCCCAGTTACATCGTGATCATGATTACATTGTGACAATGGCACATATCGCTACGTACGTTGGATTAACTGAGAAATTAATTAGAGAAGCGATTTGCAGAAAAATCTGACGATATCCAATTGCGAGGAGGCGGCAACGTTAAACGTTAATAGTTACGTTCTCCTTCTTAATTATGTGCTCGCTACGTTACTCGTTAACCTTAATTAAACACGAGTTGCACCATGACGACGCCTCGAAGGCATGTCATGGACGGGCAGGTGATAGCGGTTACTCATTTGTCTTCATTGCTCGTTACTTAGTTAAGATGCACTTTATCACGATTACGTTCACGTCTGACGAATTGTTACAGCACTCCCGGCTTTCGACAAACAAAGAAATTGACAATTCCAAAATGATGATTGTTTTATGTTTCCTATATATTTCAACGTTTACATTATTTTAAATAGTTTAATTGGTTTATTTTTACATTTTATATCATATGTAATTCCAAAAAAATACAAATAGCTTTCAGTTTTCAATCTGATAAACATTTCTCAAATGACTATAAACTAAATAAATACGTGAAAGAATTTTCTATGCAAGTGATATTAGCTGAATTATATTTTGTATATACATACATTATTTTGACTAAATTTTATTTCCGCCCAAGATCTTTCCAAGTATCTGTTAAAAAATATTTCGGGGAACTTTTTCCAAATTTTGTCCTTTGTATTTTTATATTAATTAGATTATATTAAACGTTGAAAACTACTATTGAGAAGAGTGCACCTGTATCTTTAGTATGATGATCGAGTAAAAGAGAACAACGGACTCGCGTACTTATGCTCAGCAGCAATCCACACGTAGTCATTAGAGTATAATGTATAACATTACGTCCGTCTCATACGGAGGCTAATGGTGTGCTATTTGCAACAGGGTACCGCAGCACCGTTCGCCATTCGACCGTTAAAGTCGCTGTCAGGGCAGTTCCAATTATGTACCGCTTATTTTAATTTTTACATATTTTCAAACATTGTTTTTATAATCTGATGAAGTTAAATTCCTTCTAAACTAATGCATTTATAATACATATTTATAGTAGGAATAGCTAGTAGTGTAAAAGATCACGATAATATCTTATTTGCAGGTCCATCGTAGATTTGAATAATATTGTGAAAGTCTATTTGAATAATATTATGTAAAGATAATCAAAGTGCGATTTATTACCGTAATCAGCTATCGATACGTTTTTTCTCGATTATTATTTGACATTACTCAATTTATCCTAACTCCGGGCGTTTAAGAGAACCATGGAGAAACGTGAATGCGTTCTTTAAAAATAAGGAAAAACCGAGGGAAAATAATCAGGTTCATATGTGTAACGTTCTGAATAATAAGCCATCGTTAAACCGTCGTTAAAATGCCTATGCATAGAGAGTGGGCATAGAGAGCTCGCGAGATTCTATTTTTCCCCGTATAAAATTCTATCAATTTATAGTAGCAAAGAGCCTATTAAGCATTATTAGTTCCATTTATGGCACTCCTCCAAGACTAATTTCCGAGTAATACCGAACTCCTTTCTGATTCCTTTGCATTCACGCTTGCTCGCAAATGATATACAATCTGAAATGTAGCGCAATATTTGCAAGCACAATAATACTTCAATCTGGTTTCATTCCCAGTACCGATTTTACATTACACGTCTCAATTTCTCGTTGCCGGTATTTTTCGATAGAATGAGTCACGATCCACTGATTCATCTGGTTGCGGTCGCATTTTTTGAAAGCAACTTCTATGCGGTTAGCCGCAGAAGTCAGAATGAGGACCTTCCTAGACTAGATAATATCAGCATGCAAGGAAACTTGGTATCGTGTGTTATTATAAAGCGACAAATTATTAAAATGGAACGGGTCGACTTGAAATAAATCCTTCGAATAATCCGTAGCGGTTACAGGTTACAGGTATCTGTTAATGCTGTCTTGCACGCTAGATTATGGGAATTGACATAGAAAGATGCATAGTAGATACGAGAATATCAGTAGTGCACGCTTGGCGCTTCGCTCTGCTTCGATGATATCTCGATAGCGTATGACACCGCGGGGGTTCCGTGGTTGAGAATCTTGGATATATAATACGCCGTCGCTCCGCTTACTCGAATAACTGTAAATCTTCATAATGCCTCGCGCGATGATATCGAAGATGCCATCTGCAAAATGCTCGTCCACTACGAGCATTTTGTAGAAACGAAAATGGCGTATTTCTATTTTTACAAAAATTGTTTGACGTCTCGGCAGCAACAAAATTGCCAGTGAAAATTTAAATGTCAAGAGAAGAAAGAAGAAAGAGTGAGAGAGAGATTCAGGCTAATAAATAAAGATCTTGTATTGTAATAGAAAGTATCTTTAATAATCGCGTCACATGAAAATGTATCAAGTGCAAATTTTTCAAGTAAAGATAATAATCGATATCGTTACTCTCTCCTGTAATTCGCGTTATCTCATATTTTGATGTGCGCTGTCTTTATCTGTCTTTTAACGTTTGCTAAAAGAAGAAATGCTTCGTAAATAGCACCTTTATAGTTTCGAGGTGACACGTTCCTCCGACTCTTTCGTCATCAAATTCATCAACAACGAGACACATGCATCATTCCCTTATCTAGCTCGCAGATTCATGACTCGCGATTGCAAATTCAAGATACGTAGTGAAATCTTTCCTGCGTCGCACGTTTAACTCCGTGTACAAGAATGTGGAAGTCGTGACGTATAATACGAATATGATAACGAAATTAATTATCTAAGAAAATGCATTTTAATTTATTTTAATTTCAAATCAACGACAATTCTTCCTTTTCTCTTCTTTGTAAGATTGTAAATTTATAATTCACCAAGTCGCTTGGAGAATACCGTCGTACGTTTTTTTTTACTTGAAAGATAATGTTACATTGCGCAACGCTGTATCACTGATTGTCATTCTGACGGAATTCGTTCAGCTTCACGCCAGGAACGAGCTATTGTTGCTTTGTCCGTTTGTCCGTCAGTGTCAAAAACTCGAGATACACACCGCCGTGGGTCCGAAGGATCCACAATGTGATGGACGCTTATCCGACATCAAATCTTTGAAACACTTTTTTTTTACGGAGACACCTCGGCCGGTGGGACGCTAGTTCGATGCGTAACGCACTCCGAGTTCCTTTTATTGGCGAGATTTCAACTCGACGGCCCATGGCGAATGGGTTTCGAGTACTCGATATGCCGTGACTAATCGAAAACGCTGGAAGAATACCTGCAGGGGCGGATTCACGTCTTCTACCGCTTTAACTCGTTCAATTAAATCTATAATAAGAAATCTGGGAAAGGTTGACATTCTAATTTTTTTGTCATTATGAGTATTAATTATGAGCATCAAACGGTATTGATATTTCGTATCTTTTTCATGTCTTTTTTCATTTCTGTAATCTGCTAAATTATACATTGAATGAGAAAGGAAAGAGGAGAAAGAGAAAGACATTATTTAGAAAATTTATAGTTTTGTTTTTATTTTTTGGCTCAACTGTGTAAATGCGTTCCTGTACGCCCGTCGTGCGTTCGTTGGGATAGGTCTGACTCGTCTCTCGTTGCACAACAATAGCGCCCGCCACAACGATATTCAGAATGCTTTCGCTCTGGTTACGATGACTACTTCGTCGAGATTCGATACGCCCATT